CGCCCACAGCCCTAGGATGCAGTGGGATGTTTGCAGCTCCTCTCGGGCCTGCGGCCTCCCCCTCCCACTGGGACCTGGCTGAGCTGATGTCGTCCTCAGATGTGGCGCGCCACAGCCCGACTGCCCAGGATAATGGTTGGGGGCCTCGACACACCGGGGTCCCCATCCTGGCTGCGCCCAGAACCGGTATTCGATTTGGGACAAATTGCATCATCTCTCAGAGCCTCAGTTCCTTTTCTGTAAGCGGCAAGAACCTTAGAGGTCTTGTAGGGTGGCCAAGAGGGACACGCGGGGTGAGATTATGCAATGACCTAGGTGGCATCCTGCGGGCAGTACAGGTGGCCAGAGCTGCTGGCCCCCAGAGGTGTGTTCCCACCAAGGGGCAGGGTAAGCGATCAGCACAAGGCTGCGAACCCCTCACCAGGGCTGAGTTGTGACCCCCGCAGACTGCAGACCCTGGACATTTCCTAGAGCTCCCTTGTCACAGCTCAGCCCAAACAGATGAGCGCTCTGTGTGCCCCAAGTCAGCTAGAGCCCCACCCCCAACACCGCAGGCTTCCTGGCCACGCTGGTGGTGCTCCCCAGCTCTGCAAGGGACTTCTGTGTGGCCTTTCTCTTCCTCCCTCCCTTCCCCCCTCCTTTCCTTCCTTCCTTTTTTATATTTAAAATGAGCGAAACCTCAAGAAATCATTTTAATTTTAAAATGATTCTAAGAAATTAATTTTAAGGGATTAAAACCTTAATTCTAAGAAATGTCAAAATAATTTTAAGAGATGGCTACCACTGAACCTCCCACACCCAGAAACGACCAGTGCAAACATGCTGGTGTGTTTCCTTCCAGATTTTTTTCTGCTCACAAACACCTTATTGCTTGTTTTTGTTTTAACCTAGAGGGATCAGACACCCTGTATTGGTAGGTTAACTGTCTTTTTTCAATCAGCAGCAGCTTGTGAATGTTCTCCCGAGCCACGTCCCAGGTAGCCACACCATCGTGTCAGTGGCTGCACACTATTCCCTTGTGTGGACAGACCACCGCTTGACAGACATCCAAGCTGTTTCCTTTCTCTTTTCTGTGATAAACAACACGGCAGAGAACATCTTTGCACAAGCCTGTGTACTTTCCCAACAGTGTCTTAAGATAACTTCCTTTTGGCAGATTAGTCACCAGAACTCCTCTCTCTCTCTCTCAGCAGGGCAGCACTTCTTGCTCTGGGTTAGGCCTGCCCCCAGTGGCTTCCATGGTGGCAAGAATGAAAGCTGTTCCCCTTACCACCCAAGGTCACAGCTGATGCAGCCCTTGCCTGTCCCTCCAGCCTCTCATTGCGTTGTTCCTCCTCATTACCCTTCACACACTGGCCTCTCCATTCCAGGGACACATTGAGACCAGGGGCCTTTGCACCTGTTGTCACCTGACTCTGAAACCGCCCCCCCCCCCCCGCCCAGCCCCTGCAGCTGCCATGTATTCCTGTGACAGGGGCCCCCTTGTCATTCAGCTGCTGCCTCCTCACGATGCTCGGTCCCATACCCCGCATCCCTCACCTCTGCCCTGCTCTGATCCCATCTCCCAGGGCCTGTCACTGTCTGAGACGATCTCTTACAGGTAATTTGCTGTTATCTCCCACCCCCAGTCTAAGGTCCGTGAAAGCAGGAACCTCCCCAGTCCTGCTAACCCCATGTCCCCAACCCCGTGCCTGGCACCTAGTAGGTGCTCAGCTGCACACCGGCTGAATGGCAAATTGCTGAGTTCAGAAATTTATTCAGAACTCACTGAGGAAAAAAAAAAAAAAAGAACTCACTGAGGGATTTTTTTGATACATTTTATGAAAATGGTTTAAACCCTTTACTAAAATTGTTCAATACCTTCTATGAAAATTGCCCAGAAATGCTGTGCCAATTGACACTCCCTCCTCCTACATATGGGAGTTACAACTAATCCAAGGAGAGAATCGGGATAGGAGGGTGAGGTTTAGGACTAGGGGGCAGGGAGGCCAGTTTGCATTGAATCAATCACACCCACTCTTCCTCAAATACACAGCTGCTGACTTAGCAGGACTGGGGCTCAGTCAGTGTTTGAGGCACAAACAAATGGGGACCCACCTGGAAGGCTTTCCTGAGTGGCCCAGACCTGCAGGAATTCTTTGCCTGAGACAGTGGATGAGCCTGACACTTGTCACATTGACACCCTCGGCGGCGTCAGCACTCTGGTCTGATGTGATACATCAGGCCCCAGTCAGCAGGGCCTGCTCTTGCCTCCGAGGTGGATGGCTTGCTCACTGGGGATGCTTGGTAGATCCAGGCAAGACGTCCAGGTACCTCGGGGCACTTGTCTGGACAACAGCCTGAATGCCCCTCTTGTCCCTGGGTTGTTTAGGGCCCTGTGTGGGGGGAGAAACCACGGCCTCATCTATAGATTTTTACAGAAGCAAGTCGAAGGCACAGACCTTGGTATTTTTACCAGCGTGGCTTGCCCACCTTGAGGGATAACTGAGAGCCTTGAGGCTCTGGGTGGTTCTCCCAGACTGTTCATTTGGGCAGAGAATCTGGGGAAATCTTGCAGCCCAGAGGCCCGAGGAGGGCCCTGGAACCTGAGCTTTCCAGAAACCAGCAGGGCAGCTGGGGTAACCCCAGCCCCAGCTCGGTCACCCTCTCTGTCCACAGTCTGGTGGGGAGCTGCTGGCAGGGAGGCCGGAGTTCTGCTCTGTCTGGACTCCTGGCTCTCCCTCACAGCCCCATCTCGCCAAGTGTTCCCATCTGATACGTGTTTCAAAAGTTCAGTCCCAGGGTAGCCAAGAGCACGGAGCTGCCATGAGGGAGGGGGAAGATCCCCAGGAATCCACCGGATCCCCTGCTTCCTGAGGATTGCTGCCCTTACCAAGCAGTCTGAGAGGGCGAGGGCCATCTGTCTGGTCTGATGGTTTCCAGTCTGGGTCCCTTTCAGCTGGAGGGGAGACTCTGCTGGAAATCAGGCTTCAGTCCTGGCTGGGCTGTTAATCTTATGTTCAAATTCATTCATAATGAGCAAAATGCAAGTTAAAACTCTGTTTGGATGCCATGCCCTACTTTTGAATGGCTGAGCACCAAAAGCTGGATGCCACGCTGTGCTGGCGAGCTCATGGGCTGGACCGGCTGCCTCAAGTGTTGATAGGACTTGTCCATTGGTGGAGCCATCACAGAGGGCAGTCTAGCAAGCTGTCCAGGTTGGTCCTGGGATGCCCAATTCCCCTCCTCGGAGCTTATCCGCAGGTGCTCTCAGACTTGTGTAGAAAGTCCCAGGGACAAGCTAGCACTCCTTGGCGGGTGTTTGCAAGAGCAAAATATTACGAGCTACTAAATCTCCATTTATAGGGATTTGGTTTGCTGTCATTGGGATACTTTAATATAATAGAATACTGTGCCGCTGAATATAAAGCACGGGGGGCTCTTTGTGAACAGCAGCCCACCACAAGCTGTGTGACACACAAGGGCCAACAAGAATGTGGAACCCCTGCAAGCCCTTCGCGTGCTCCCGGCAGGGAGGCAAAATGGGGCAGCTGCCTCGGGAAATAGTTTGGCAGCTTTTTAAAAAGGCAAACATACATTTAACGTATGGACTCAGCAGTGCCACTCCTCGATCTGTATTCAAAAGAAAAATGTGTCCGTACAAGCACATGTCCACACACATTCACAGCAGCATTTCTCATAGTAGCCGGAAGTGGAAAGAATCTACATACCTATCAACTGGGGAATAGATAAAGAAAATGTGGCCTATCCCTGTGATGGAATATTATTCAGTCACAAAAGGGAGTCAAGTACAGATCACGCTACCACACTGAGGGATGAGCCTCACACACCTCCTGCCGGGCGAAAGGAAGCCAGGTGCACACGGCCGAGTATGGCATGATTCCGTTTACGTGAGATGTCCACATCTGTAGGGACAGGAGTTGCCAGGGTCTGTGGGAGGGGAACTGATTAAAACTGGACGCAGACGATCTTTTGGGGTGATTATGATGATCCAAAAGTGGTCGTGGTTGCACAACCCTATAAAATCACTAAAAAAAAAAAAAATCACTGGATTGTATATACTTAGGGTGAATTTCATGGCATGTTATACCTCAGTGGAGCTGGGTTTTGCTTTGTTCTAATTAATTTATTTATATTAATTAACATAATTTATAATGATTAACATAAATAATATGATTATAAATTATAATTTATAATAATTAACATAAATAATTTATATTAATTAACACACTGGTGGAGGAGGGACAGAGAGAGAAAAAAAATCTCAAGCAGACTGCCTGCTGAGCATGGAGCCCCGAGACGGCCCTGAGATCATGACCGCTCAAACAACTGAACCACCCAGGCGCCCCATCAGTAGAGCTGGGAGGTTTTTTTGTTTTTGTTTTTGTTTTTTTAAAAAAAGTTTTGTTAGCTGAAGGATTTAACTGCTGCCCTGAGAGTGGCTGTTACTAGCTGTGTGACCTTGGGAAAGTCCTTGCTTTCTACTGTTTCTGTCTTCTCACCTGCCAAACAAGGCCACTAAGGGCACCCCCCCCCCCCAGGAAGGTGAAAGGGCGGGAAGAGAGCGCTTCGCAGCGTTGAGCCGAGGGGGCCGCTCTGTTTTAGTAGCGGGCGTCGTCGCTGTCACGGTGCCATCCTGCCAGCCCGCCACATGGCCACCAGAGGAGCCTGCAGGTGGCAGCCCACACCAGGCGGAAGGCTCAGAGGCCGGAGGGGCGCTCAGTTCAGACGGATCGGGGCTGGGGTTCCCGGAGTTCAAGACCAGAGCTCCCCGCCCTGCCTGACCCAGATTCAGACCCAGGCCCCGGGAGGAGAATGGGATCTGCCAGCTGTTCCTGGGCGCACGCAGCAGCTGTGTTTGCAGCAGCTGCGGGGAGGTGGCCCTCGGCCACAGTTCCCCACCTGGGGCACAGGGGCGCCCGGCTCTCCCTTCCCCGAGCTAGTCTCTGTAGAAGGCCCTCCAGATCCTTCAGTAATACGCCCTCTGCCTTCTTTTTCAGCCTGAGGACCCCTCGAGACGGAAAGGCCTTCCGGATCTTTGCCGTCAGGCAGTGAATTTCCAGCGCCGGGGAGAAGGGGGCGTGCGTCTTCAAGAGGGCTTCAGGGTTTTGCTTTTTATTATTATTTTGTCATTTGGGAGGGGGGTGGGCTGGGGATATAGAGAGGCAGGAAACTTCCTTTGAATGGCGTTCAGTGTCACACCCTTTGTGCCTTTGCCTCGAACCACACGGAGAAGCAGCGTCCTTGGGGGCCCGCTGGACAGCTGGTGACAGCTGAAGCCCGGAGGTCCCCATCGGCGCGCCCACTCTGCACGGATGGTCACCAAGGTGCTCCTCCCCAGTGCTCCTCCGTGGGTGGGAGAGAGTTTCAGGCCCCCGGAGCTGGCAGATGTGGAGCTCACGCAGGGAGGCACGCAGGGGCGGGAGGAGGCATAATGAACACCCGAAGGGCGAGTTTCAAGAATGGAATAGAAGGTGGCTATTTAAAAACTTTGAAAACACAGTCTGTCCCTACCAGTGCAATAAAATGGGGTTAATGTTTGCTGGTCAGACAAATGGGCTGGAACCAGGGGGCTGGGGAGGTGAGGCCGGGGCCCTGCCCTGGCACCTGTCCCTGCCGGCACCCCGCCTCCCGCAGGCTGGATCTGTAGACAGCAGTGCTGGTTTATTTAGAGTTCCACGGTAACGCCGGAGATTTACCATGTCTTTGTCCTTCCCTTTGTCCACGTGGCCCGTCTATTTGCTTCCGTGACCTTTGGTCTCATTGAGGACAAATGAACCAGGATCCTTTCTTTGCCCCCCACCCGTGTGGCTCCTGGCCCAGCCCAGACTGGTTTGTGCATCACGTTCCCCACCAGGGTCTTCGCTTTGCAAGTGGTTCTCTTGGCAGCCCACTTTTTTTTTTTTAAACTTAGTATCAGTTGGTTCCACTGAGGTGTCTAAGAACAGCCAAAGGAGGGCTGTTTTGTTGCTGCTTTTAAAAAGTGACAATTAAATATGCAGATTCCCCGATCCATCCGATGACCTAGTTTTTAGCAGTGGGAGGAATGGATTCCTTGGTACATTCCTCGCCCAGGTTAGCAGCTCTGGGAAGAGGAACAGTTTGTGGTTATGAAACCATCCTGCGGTGTAATAGCAAGAGACGGTAACACTCTAGAAAGATTTCTCTTCCTGTTTTTGTGGAACAGCCCTTGCCAAATGCTCCTCGGGCTCTGAGGAGTGCGGTGCTCTCTGGCTTCCACTTTACAAAAGTTCTTCATAAGCCCAGACCAAAACCCACAGTGAAATAAAATACCTTTTTGTAAATAGCATTGCTTTGCAGAAGGTAAAATTCCACCCTCCACCAGCAGGCTGGCCAATCTATCACTTCTGTGAACGCCGGTTTTAAATTTTAAGTTCATTCTTCATCAAAATATTGCAAAGGCAAAGGAACTAGCAGGCAGTTTTTTTAAAAAAAAACAAACGAAGCAAAACTAAGATGATCCGGACAAGGAAGTCTACCAGGGGGAGTAAGCTGGTGTGTTGTTGAGAGCACCCCTACTTCGTGCACACGCTGGAGGTAAACAGCTTCCCTCCTCCACCTTTGGGGAGCTGCTATAAGCAGTGCAACTCGTAGCCCAACAGAGCTGAAACTAGCAGAGCTGTTTTTCCTTCGTGCATTGTGGGCTCATAGTAATTCGTAGGTTTTGACAATTTGACCCCAAATGTCAGAGCATAAGAATTTGGTTGGCCTGACAGTTATGTGTCTAGTTATAGCCAAAGATCTGAGTACTGGGAAACTTCTGGATTCTAGGTGTTGTGCTGCTGGACTCTCCATCAGACTTCGCTCTGCCACCAACCTTCTGTGGCCTGTGGCTTTGTTGAGACTACAGGGTTGGGTTTTTAGAATTCGAGACAGTCCAGGGGCTCTTCCCATGGGTTTGCTGTGGAAGCATCCTACCCAAGGGAGAATCTGAAACATCTGGTGCTAGTGGACCCCATCCACTATTTTAAAATTGATTTCCCCGACTGGCGAATGCCTCAGTAACTGGCTGGCCCAATGGGATAGGCAATCCTCACCCAGAACCGGAACTTGCTCTCCTTTTTGTACTCACGAACATTTTGAAACTGGAATCGTTTGTCTTCCGAGAATGGAAACAAGGCAGCAAAGTCTAAGCCCCTATAATCAGAGGCCACCTCTCACTTTGCGTGTTAACGAGACCCACCGTGCCATTGGCACGGAACCCACAGAAAGATGACAAATCAGGCCAACAGTGTTGCTGGGTCTCCTGCCTCCAAAATAAAAAGTTCTCATTTCCTTCAGATTTTTGCCCTATCATGTTCTGAGTTTTTATATTGTCTGTAGGCTCACTCAGCCCGCAGCTTACATGTGTGCTTTTTTCTATGAAAAATGATGTATTTTACTACTTCCTATGTACAAAAGTTTATTGTAAATTTTGTGTGTGTGTGCTTTGCATGAACGGGGGCCACGTTGCTGTTGTTTCAATAAAACTGGTTTGATTTCTAAAGTGTTTCTGTGACGTATCTCTTCTGGACAAATTTGAACAGTTTGTGAAATGTTTAACAACCTCCTCGAAGGCTCTTGGCTCTTGTCAACACCACTTCTACTAAGTGTGTCGCATGTAGGCAGGGAGATGCTGAAGGCTGCAGTATTTTCTGGAGCCTCCGGGAAACCTCCACCTGATAAGTGGGAAGAAACAAAGCGACGTCACAGAAAGTGTGCAAACTTCGTGTAGATGGGGTGGGGTGGGGGGCTCATCAAAAATGCAGATTCTGAGGGCACCTGGGTGGCTCTGTCAGCCGAGTGTCTGACTTTTGATTTCGGCTCAGGTCATGATCTCAGGGTTGTGAGATCGAGCCTTGCATCAGGCTCCGTGCTGGGCATGGAGTCTGCTTGAGATTCTCTCTCTCCCTCTCCCTCCGCCCCTCCCCCACTCACACACTATTTTTCTCCTAAAAAAAAAAAAAAGACAAAAAGAATACAGATTCTGGTCCTGCAGCTCTAGGCTGGGGCCTGAGAACCTGTCTTTCTCATGAACTCCTAGTGACATGCATGCTGCTGGTCCCTGAGAGCATACTGTAGGTGCCAGCTAGAGGCTGCTCCAGCGGCCCCAACAAAGCACCATAGACTTGGTGGTTTACACAACACAGATTTATTATCTCCCAGTTTAGGAGGCTGAAATCCAAGATCAAGGTGGCAGCAGGGTCGGTTTCTCCCGAGGTATCTGTCCTTGCTAGCTCGGGGCCACCTTCTCCCTGAGTCCTGTGCTCTGTTTTTGTTTTTTTTTTAAGATTTATTTACTTATTTATTATTTATGATAGAGAGAGAGAGAGAGGCAGAGACACAGGAGGAGGGAGAAGCAGGCTCCATGCCGAGAGCCCGATGAGGAACTCGATCCCGGGACTCCAGGATGGCGCCCTGGGCCAAAGGCAGGTGCCAAACCACTGAGCCACCCAGGGATTCCCCGCTGTGCTCTGTGCGTCCCTAGTCCTACTGGATCAAGGGCCTCGCCCGTATGATCCCATTTAACCTTAATTAACTAACCCCTTAGAGGTCTCGTCTCCAAATACAGTCATATTGGGAGTCAGGGCTTCGACATATGAACTTGGGGAGGAGGGAGCATCAGCCCCTTTTGGTGATTGCTGTCATGTGTCCTTGTGTGTCCCAATCTGCCATAGTCATGGGAGAGTTTCGGGGGCTTGACTGATCTTTCATTTCTCTGTCAATGCTTTTGCTTTTGTGTTCTCAGTCCCCTGATATGTTCTTTCCACTGATAGTGGGGATAGCTTTCCTCTGTAAAATGTTGATTTAAAAATAATATATGAGCACTTGTGCGGCTGGATTGCAAAAATCGTGGACATTGGATAATAACTAATGCCCGGCAAACACTGGTTTATGACAAGAGCATGGCCAAGTCTGTAGAGATGACCCCGCTGGCAGCTCCCCACAGGGCACTGGGGAGCCTCCCCTGCCACCACCATCCCCAGATCTACAGTCTCTTCCTCCTGCATCCAGAAGTTCTGACATCCCACGATGTCACCGTCCTGTGCTCACCCCCTAAGCTCCCAACATGTAAAAGTGGTAGCATCGGCTGGGGAAGGTGGCAGCCACAAGGCAGGGGCTGGCTTCCTCCTCACAGAATCCACTGGAGACGAGGCAGAGAGTATTGCAAGTTCATGCTGAGGCTGTGGTGCCTGCAGCCCAAGCTGCTGACATGGGTTGCTCAGTGCCAGGTGACACAGTGACTGCGAACAAGCACCTGGGAGTCCCCAGGGAGCCTCCACCTCTTACCAGCTCTGGGACTTCAGACAAGCTGCTTTGCTTCTCTGGGCCTCAGGCTGCTCATGCACGCTTGTGCACAAAATGGAGATTTAGCACACACACACACACACACACACACACACACACACCCGCCACGGGGCAAGGATGACATCAGGTGAGCTAAGATAGCAAAGTGCTCAGAGGCGGTGCTTGAATAATGATGAAGATTTGCACCTCTCGGGACACTTTTGGTTGCTGAAAACAGAAATCCATCTAATGGCCCCAGGACTTGTTAGAAATGCAGGATCTCGGGGGCTCAGCCCAGACCCACCAAACCTCTGGAGGTGGGGCAGCACCCTGTACATTAACAAGCCTCCTGGAAGATTCTGGCGCTAAGGACATGCAAATATCTCAGGTATGAAGGAGGGGGGGTGATTCCTGGAGCCGCTGCTCAGTGATGTAATGTGAGGACTCCTGGTGGACACCTCTACAACCCTCACCGCACCCCCCTGTGCTTAGGAGAGCCGCCACCCCGCACACTGTCCCCACGCACGGGGCCGAGACAGTTTGTTGGGTGGGAGAGGTAGGGCCTCTTCCCACAGCTGTCTGCTCCCGTCGGGGAAGAAATCTTTCCTGGTGTCACCCAGTGGGCCTGTTTTAAATCCCTTTCCTCATATAGGGCCATATGCCCATTCCCAGGTTTGTCCCAAGCAACTGCTGACAGAACAGGAAGTTCCCATAAGAGTGGAGAGAGGAAGACCAGGGCACCTCGAGGGCTGTTTTATTTATTTTTTAAATTTTATTTATTTATTCATGAGAGACACAGAGAGGGAGACAGAGACATAGGCAGAGGGAGAAGCAAGCTCCATGCAGGGAGCCCGATGTGGGACTTGATCCCGGGTCCCTAGGATCAGGCCCTAGGCTAAATGTGGCACTAAACCGCTGAGCCACCCAGGCTGCCCAGGGTTGTTTTGTGTTTTTTTTTTCTTCCCCAGGGCTTTTTTAAATACATGAAGATTTGCTTCCGTCAGACTGGCACAGTGCAAGAGTCATGAGTGGGGACCCAGTTGTGTCTGAGTTTGAATCCCAGCTCCATTCTGCAAGCTGTGTGATGCTGGGCAAGTTCCTGAACCTCTCTGAGCATCATGGTGTCCTCTGTAAAAGGGTAGTGACACCAGGGTCTGTTCCATGGGGTGGTTATGTGGATTAATGAGGTCACACCTGAGAATGTTCACACTCACACTTGGTGTGCACACAGCTGCCACGTATGTCACTCTGTTGTTTTGAGGTGTGGAGCTTATGCCAGTGGGCATGTGTCACAGAGAGACAGACTACTACCAAATACAATAAAGATGTTCTAATTGGCAGAACTGCCCAAAGATGAAATGGCTCATATGAAAAGGGAGTGAGCTCTCTCTCCCTAGAAGGATACAAGCAGAAGCTGGAAGAATCTTGGAGTTGAATGACTTTAAGTATTCTTCCCTGATTCTGGTTCCCAGCAGAGACCTGCCTTTCCCCCACTGCCCTGCCCAGAGGGCCCTGAGGACCCAAGGAAGAGGGGCACCGAGCCATAAAATCCTGGATCCTCAAACCATGGCACCTTCATTCGAAAGAAAAAAAAAGAAAAAAGAAAAAAGAAAAAAAAGAAAAGAAAAACAACCTTTGGACCTATGTAGAACCATTGTGTTGTGTTGGGTCATTTTTGTCATTTATTCACGTTCTGTCCAGAATTTCACACCAAACCAAAACCTGTCCTAGACTGCTACTGGAGCTTAAAAAAATCTTTTAGACCCTTAAAAAATAAGGGTAAGTGGATGTTGTATCCAAGAAGCATGGAGAGGGCCCCTAAACCAATCCCTCCCATCAGCACCTGGCCAGGCTCTGAGGTGGGCAAAGAGGCCTCTTCTGTGCCCTGGCCGCCCCATGCTGACGGGAATGGGCCAGCTGGTCAGCAAGCAGCCTCCCAGCTCACCTGACCCACCCCCTTACACCCTCGTGGCTGGCTGTGGTCCCCGGGGTGTTTCCTCCCATCCACTGCCCCCTCCCCACCTGACACAGGAAGGTGGCAAAGGGATTCACCTAAGAAAGTGCCCACTATGTGCCAGGTATGGGCTGGGCACCAAGTATGTGCTGTCATTTACTAAGGACATGTCTTGCAAGGACTTGCTCATTCAATTTTATTTGTCAAGAGAAATTCAGGTGCCATTCCACTGTGTTTGTCAAAGTGTCTGCTAAAAACGCATTTGGTTGCATGTAACAGAGACCCAAGCACAGTGGAAGGTGGGTTCAGGGATACAGTGCCTGGGAGTCCCAGGTGGCGGTCCCACTTCCCGCTCTGTCCTCTTGAGCACCTGCCATTTCTCCTTACCGTCAAAAGATGACTGCTTGATCTCCGGCATGCCATAGGCATTCCGGCAAGGAAGAGAGACAATGATGGAGGGCAAAAGGCACATGGTAGCTGTCCCTTTTATTTCAGATGTGGTATTTTTTTCAATTCTAGAATGTCCATCTGGTTCTTTTCCTAATTTTCTAATTTTCCATGAACTTTTTCATTTTTTCCCATGTATTTTGAAGATATTTTCCTTTACGATTTCAGCATAGATAGATGTCAGCTAATTCTCATGTTTGGGTCATTGTGGGTCACTCATCTTTTCTCTTGAGCAAGAGTTGGCATACTTTATCTTGAAGGACCCAACCAGTGAATATTGTAAGATCGTGAGCCATAGCATCACTGTTACTAAGACTCAACTGTGTGGTTGTAGTGTGAAGGCTACCATCGATACCATCGATCGGCACCAGTGAATGAACATGACTGTGTTCCAGTAAAACTTTTTCTTTCTTTCTTTTTTTTTTTTTTAGAGAGAGTGCAAGTGGCTGCAGGCAGAGGGAGAGGGAGAGGGAGAATCTTAAGCAGGCTCCAGACCCATCATGGAGGCCAACTTGGGGCTTGATCTCACAACTCTGAGTTCATGATCTGAGCTGAAACCAAGAATCAGACGCTTAATTGACAGCCACCCAGGCACCTATAAAACTTCTTTTTAAAAAGCAGATGACCAGCCTGCAAGCCATAGTTTGCTGACCCCTTCTCTTGAGTATGGACATTTTAGAGACATTTCTTTGTATGTCTAGTCATTTTGGATTATAACTTAGACATTGTATTACTGCATCATGGAGACTAGATTGTTACACTTTAAGCAGGAAATTAACTTGTCTGGACTCAAATTCTGAATGCTGCCCCCACTGCAT